TTATTACAAATAACTTCATTTCTGCACATTTATGGTTGATTTCTTTGTATGTATGGATCACTTGGGTTGTTACCAACGTCTGGTGAAAATTTCATGCAGAAATCTGTTGAAAATTTCAAGCACCTCTAGTAATATATTTACTGAGAAAAATGTTGACGTGTTCAATATTTATTTTACCCGCTGTATCTGCCCACTACTGAAACAGATGCTGCTGATAAAAACAAGTTGTAGTTGTAGAAGAAGCACAGCCAGATAAAAACCAGAACACTGAAATCAGGTTGCTTTAATTCTAGGTTGGGCTACTCAGGACAATTAGTTTTACAGTCATAGACAATGGTGCATCCCCTGAGGACGAGTCGCTCCATAAACTCTCCTGTGTTCTTTATGTGTTCAGACTGAAGGTTAAAAAGTTTAAAACGAGACTCAGGATCTTCAGGTTCAGCTGGTCGGTGATGATAGTGGACTGTGAAGTCTGGCGGTGACCTTTAGCAGGATTTGTTCTGCGTTCAGTAGCATAACATTTTCAAATGTCTGCTTTTTGAGTTAAAAAAAGTGGAATAACAGAAATTCTTTTTCCTAATTCTGAGTTAGCCATAAAGTTGAAAAAGACATATTCCATCCACTTTACAGAGAATGTCAGTATAACCTGCTATTTCTCATTTTAGTGGGGCTGACATCAGGGCCCTATTAGCTCAGAGTAATAAAGGAGGTTGTCCATGGAGACTYGTTACTCTGAACAGGCATTTTCAGGGGTGGAAAGAAAGAATTAAAAGGCCAAAGTTGCTATAAATAAACCCATATGAGGGAGAGGGCACTAACTGAGAACCTCTTTTGTCAAGATAATTAAGTTTGCCTTTAAACCCTGCTCACAGACTTTTTTTTTTACTCTAAAATGTCCAACAAGGATAAAAATGAATGGTCTGGTTTTTAACATTCATGTTGAATATTTTCCGTTCTTTTAATTGGGTCACATTCTCGTATTTWAAAAAAAAGTATTACTCCACCTCTATGCCATGCTAGTTTAGTTCATCTATTTTGGATATTTTAACTCATTTTTTTGTATGCAAACATAAAAAAAAACATGAATTTGTAATGAACTTTGTATATACTGTGCAATTCCCTTATTCCCTTATTACATTGTGCTTACAAGGATCTTTTTTTTTATCTTTAAGACAGCGGAGAGGAGTAAGATGAAGAACGTGAAGGTTGAAGGTGAGAGGAAAAGGAAACAGTATTTGACAGGTCCAGCTTTGTTCTTTCTGTACAAACATCAAGGCTTTGCTTCACAGCGTGTCGCAGCACGACTCCAAGGCCTCGGTGTTTGATGGCTGTGTTAGCACAGCACAACACCCTCATTTTTTGAAAGGTTAGCTGGGTTCACAAAAGGGTTGTATAAAATTGATTTGATTCATTGATTTAACAGGAAAAGATTATTAAAAATCAAACCTGACTCAGCATAATTGCTGTTTTACAGCAGGTTCCTGTTCTGCAGCACATAAAACACTCAGAATTACAGCATCACAATCACATCATTATTATTACACCATAGACACAAAGACAAACAAGCATACCAAATTTCAAAAAGTCTTACCTGCCGATTCTGATTTTGGCTGACACTGTTTTTTAAATAACTGACACTGTCAGGTATATTAAGGTCACAACACACCTTTAATGTTCCAATTTTATTTGATTGAAAAACATTAAATAATACTCTTGAAACAATACAAACTTGTTTTAACTACACATGAGGTAGTGCTCACAGTAGAGCAAAATGGGACAGTGGCTGATTTTCAGACCTTTGTGGAGGTAAATAAGAAGACAATCTTTTCCAC